CACCTAATAAAGTCAAATAACACACACCAACTTACCGGTCATGAACACATACAAAATTATTAGCACAGCTTGGCTTGTTCTTCCCATCTCTTTTAACATTCGTAATTGCTGTTACTAGGTGAAGAAAGTAAATTCAAAAGCTTTGGCTTCTGTTCTCCGTGGAGAAGCACAGTGAGATCCTGCCCTTCCGCACCAGTTCACGAGCATAGCTCCAGCGTGCTCTTTATAGAGGCTCTGGTCGAGGTGGAGTGGGAAATCCCCGGACGGGGGAATTCGGCGCAGGCCGGATCCACGCCGGGCGGCGCCCTCTGCTGCTTTCTGCAGTGAGCTATTGGAAGCCAGGAAAGCAAGGAGTACTAACACTTCCCATTGTGCACAAAAAGGGCAAGATCCGATCCTGCAAACAACTGATAAAATGAAAGAATGGGGGTAATTCCAAGCAACCGAATGGCTCTATATCTCAGATGGAAAAGTTGTTCAAGTTTGCTTTCAGTGTAAATATTTTTGTAGGAGTGAGTCTTGAGAATACTTCTAACAATACTCAGTTCTGTATAACGTTACCCAGCTCAGTATTCCCCTTGAAAACTGCACTACCAGTTCAAGAGATAATGTTACTCCCATTCCTAAGTGTAAAAATGAAGAAATAAGTCAGACAACAGAAGTCTGGAGCTCCAACTCAATCAGCTTGATTCAGGTTCATTTTTTTTGGATTAACTGAGTGAACTAATCTTCCCAATTCTGCTTTAAAAATGCCTCTAAAATGTCCATCTTTCAAGATGCTACTTGTATGCATTACATCACTGATATGCCTCTCAGTTCTCTTATGTCCTGTTTATGTACAACTGAAGAATACCAGTTTATAATACAACTCTGGGATTATTTTCAGTGTTTGGTTTTCAGTGGGTATGTGAATCAAGACTGGAATCTTTCTGAGGGCAACTATTACTGGCTAATATAGCAACAGTGTTATGAATAAAGTAAAGTTACATTTTCAATGTTTAATTTTCAATTGGGAAATGCTATGAACACAAAGAACAGATGAAGGTTTCCAGATCTCAACTGTTTATTTATTCAACTGCTTGAGTAATTTGTATTGGTCAGTTATGAATCCCTGAATAAAAGCAGCAAGAGATTCAAAACTAAGCATATATGTTATTTTAAAATGTCTCTGGGAAATTGTTTGGTAGGTACTAGTTTGGTCATTTGATGCCTGTGAAATATTGTCCTCATATAGTATCTTTTACAAACAGCACAGATTTAATGTCTAATAAATGAGTAATAACTTGAAAAAATAAAAGCTGAAGTAACAATGCTGTAGATGCTAAAGAAATGTCATTGCTGAAACCTGGCACCACATTAACATGATGCTTTTTGAGTCAAGCAGATTTTACATTTAATAACCTAATGCTAGCCACAAAACACCATGTTCAGGTGGGAGTAGCATGAGAGGATGTAAAGCTTCTGCTGGCCTAGAGTCAGTGTGTCTTCTTCTATTTTTTAATGCTTTTCCCTGGCAGCATCTGCCCCTACATTTGCATCCTTACCAAAGGGCAGCTGGACAGTACAAGCTGCTACAGAAACACATGAGGTTAAGAGAAGCAGCATCAACCACTTGTTCATATACTTCTCAGAAACTCATAAACTTAAAAGGGATGTAATGACTCTAGGAAGATACAAACTGTGCTCTCAGGCAGAAAGCATGTCTTCAAAATAATAATGATTTGTAAGAACAGCAGTGTTCAGAAAGATGAAAAAATAAACAAGACAAGCCAAGAATTACCCAGAAGACAATAAACCAGAGCCATCTGAAGCACCTAGCAATGCCTTACCAAAAGTCTCTAAAGTTGATGTTCACTGGAACTTCCAGTGGACTCTCCCATAATATATTATTTCTATTATCTTTATCATTGTTTTTATTAGAGGAGGAGGGGGGGAATTAAAAACAATGTCGAAGTGTCAGGAAATGTACTGCTATCAAATCCAGAAATCCAAAATCTATCCGGAGGAGGTAACAACATCTACAGAGTTCTTTCTTTTCCCTGGAATGGCTTTTGGTGAAGAAGAATGTACTCTCTTAGTTAAGTTGCGAATACAGACTCTTTAACCATGGGCAGGCAGAAGCGAGAAACGAAACTCTTCTGCCTGACTGCTGGATAATCATAGGCTAAGCTGAATGGGAAAAGGCAAAATTTCCCTGTTTCTGGGAAATCAGTTTCTAGACACAAAAAGATATAAATATAGGAGGCCATATCCGCATGCTGGAAAAACTGTAATCAAGCCCTTCATCAGATAACAGGAAAAAACTCTGAGCCAGCTCTCAGTAAAACTAAACTGGGCAGCTGCCATTAACTTTACTGGAGTTGGATCCTTACCAGAGGGACTATGACACTGAGTGACAGATAAATTTAACTCAGACACTACAGGTGAGAGCAGGGTTAGCCAAGAAATATCATTAAAGGAAGTACAGATCTGACAAAGAAATGAAACAAATTTCTTAAAACTTATTCTTTACCCAACTTCAAATGTGAGCCTTCTGTGAATTTTAAACAGAACATATGCTTTACTGTTGCTCCTACTATCCTCTGCATCAGCTTGCAAACAGAATGGCTATCAAGCTTGCTTATTTCCAGAACAGGCTGTCCTGTCTAGGGATCAGCAACTGACCTCAAGAATTCACACAATCAAGCTTATTATTCAAATTGCACAAAGGAGGACGCTGGGGATAAGCCCAGAGGATGCACCTAGATTCACAGTGAGATCAAGTGTCATAGAATCAACTGGAAGAAAAACCTGACACATGCAGAGCATAATGAAGACTGGAATGTAACAAGTATTACAAAAATATCTCTAAAGGCAAAAGAGATTAAAAGAATGAAGCACTGGGATGTAAATATGTTTTTTAATACATCTAGTAATCAAGAGTCTTTTCTCAGGCTTTGTTGGACAAATAAAGAGAAGACAATTGTGTCTCAGAAGGGAGTTGGAAATACTGAACACGTCATTTTTGGCCTGGCATCAGAAAGTACAAATGTCCTTCAGGAAACTGAAACTTACTTCAGACTTCTTTTGGAATGTAAGAACAGAAACCCATTTCAGAATTGTGTTCAGCTTTTCCTTTAATCCATACTTCTTCAACCGTGCTAAATACCTATATGATGAACTTCACTTAATTTCCTCTAGCCAAGAGATAAAAACTCTCTCTGACCAAAATGCAACATGTTCATTATCCAGCATTTCTAAACCTCTTCTTAACTATTCTATGATTTTATGATTTTTAATGTACTGCACTGTCTCAGGGAGGCTATGAGAGGAAGCTGAAAGGCTAACCCTCAAGCAGAATTTGGCCTCTTCAAACCTGCGCCACTGGTTTTGTGATTTATGGCCTACGGAGAAGAGGTCAGCAATAAAATACTCCATGGCACTCCATCCCAATAGCTGTAATCTAGAGCCAACACTTAGGATTTCTGCTAAAAACATCCAGTGTTGGAATAATAACTTCTATATAGGGCCCCAACACAGAAACACATGCAACATGTTCACTGTTAAGCATCTTTGTCCCATGAGCTTGAGAGGGCAGAATCCTTCAGTGGAGGGCCTGGCATTCAGGTGAGAAGATGCAGCTAAGTCTGACTCAACAATTCTTCAGCCTCAGATCATAGAGGTATTACAGCAAGTTCATGCTTAGATTCCCCATTCAAACAGCAGCCCTCACCCATCTCACAAAAGATCTCCTTGGGATGTGCACTGGATGTCTGAGTATGAGAAAGCCTCTCACAGAGTTTCTGATGCCTTATGGAAGCAGCTGGGATGAAGAGCTTTCAAACTATGCAAAGAGTGTCTGATACCTCCACAGTATGATCATGCCTAAAGAATAAAAGCAAGAGGAATATGCTGTAACTCAAATGAGAACTACTTTTGCAGGCAAAAACATATCTGCATCAACAAGGAAAGAATTCCCTTCAGGCACCACATCCAAGGGAACACCTTTAGTATGGTCATATCATATGATCAAGTAACTGAAAAACCATGTACCTGGAGGGTATGTATGAGTACTGCTGACTATATGGCTTACACAGCAGATAATGATCTGACAGATGCCAAATCTTTAATTCTCAGCACCTCAGTAGCCTGCTATATGGGTCATATTCTGTCTTGCCTTTCCCAGTGCCTACTGGCTTTTTGGTTCCCAAAGCTTTCCTGACCCTTTGGTTTCCTTAACTCCCTCCACCTTCTTTCTCATCACCTGACAATAACACAACATCTGTATAGCCCCCAAAAGGGGGAGGAGAGCATCACTGACTCCCTATAATTTTCATCTCCAGATGGGAAAGATGAGCTCTACCTGCAGATCTATTTAAAGGGTTGTGTCTGTTTCAGGAATTGTAACTTTGTTCCCAGCTACAAAAAGAACACCAACGCATTACCCTGTAGCTCACATCACACCTTACAATTGTACTCCACATCTAACTTGTCATCTACTGAAAAAAGGGAAAAAAGAAGCAACTTAAGAAAGTTTTATCATCTGCTTCTTTCCCTTTTCAGGAATTTCTGAAATACTGAATATAAAAATAAATACATCTACTTCCTTCATGATTTTTCTCAGGCACCAGCTCCTATGACACTTCCTGTCTGGTGGGTCTGCAGGCATCCAGAATCCACAAAAGATGTCAGATAAAACAATACTGAAGTATGATAAGTGGCACAGACTACAAAATAGCTAATTCCTTGCATGTTTTTTTTTCTATTCAGAGGCATTGCCTATTTCACTTCACAGAAAGGAATGAATAAAAGCCATTAGAGAAAAAAGTCCCTACTTTTTATCTTAGTCTCTTGTTGCTGGCAAAAAAACAAGCTCTGGAAATTCCAAACCTTATTTCTAAAAAAAAAAAAAAAAAAAAAAGTGTTATTTTAGTGATGCTGGGTATAAAAGTGAACAGCCTTTTAATTCACATACCTACAGTAGTTCCCAGTACCATACTGTGAGTCAGACTTCTTTAGGTTGGGTAGCTGAGCTTCTACTGTTTTCGCATTGACAAAAGTTTCCCTTTTGAAACATCCTCCAGTGTATATTAAGAGCCAAATTCAAATACGAGTATTCAAAATCTGTTTGGGAATTTTGAAATGAGAGCTCAGATCTGCTTTTATTTTGAGCCAAATATCTTGAAATGCATCAAAGTCACTTTTCCCTCACTGGAATTACAGCTTCTTAGACAAAACTCCTTCAAAATGGTCAGAAAAAAAGAAATAATGTGAGCTTTGGGTCAAAGCACAGATGCTGATTAGGACCTGGGATACAGCAAGATTAAGTCAACTGAAAACATTTACCAATGAACATGAACAAGTTTCTTGATTCGCCCAACACTCTACATGAAATTTCCATACCACTAAATATTTCTGTACCCCTCATTAAGACCAGCATTTCACATCATCAGATGAAGGTAATCAAGAAAAGGATGTAGATTTTTTTTTACCAAGCTCTGTTATTACTCACCAGCATCTGCTCTCCAAGGCACTTAGAGATCCTTGATTATGGGAAAATGGAGATCCGCCACCTCCCTGTTTCACAGCTCCTTCCTGTTCTTCAGTCGTCAGGTACATGCATGTCCCTACGGACACAGAAAGACAAAGTGAAATGATGACAGCAAGGTGTGTAACATACCATTCCAGCTGGAACAAATGCAGAACTTGGATTCCCCTAAACAAACTACTGCTAACTGCACTGATACCAATTGATCATCCTTCAACTTGTCAATCACTGACTATATTCTTCATTCTCTTACAATGGTTCCTATTCTGAAGAGCTGTGTTCAGCTGTAGAGATGTCATTTTTGCTGTGCTGCATGATATCAATGCAATCTTTGTAGTCCCACAGACTGGCTCACTAACAGTTAGAAATATTACACAGGTATCAGAAAGGAATTAAATCACTGTATGATTAAAGAATCATAATTTTAAAATCTTCCATGTGGGTGAGGATTACAGGGATTGCTCAATTTCTATTTTTTTCTTTAATTTTGGGGGGGTTAAAACACATAAGGAAATTTTTCTTTTATATAGATATTGTCAGTTTTCAGTCTCTGGAAGCAGACTGAAAGTTCTAAAGAAAATGACCCTTCAAACAGAAAAGAAGGCATGAACTGATTTTTACTTCCACCAAGCCAAAATGACAAGTACCCAGGAGAAAGCATTTTGCAGTAGCAAAATATGTGTGTTTGTGTGCCTGTACATATAATAGCAAAGTAAGTAACACTTCAAGCCAGCTGCAAGTCTGTTTAGGATCTGGCACCTTTTGTTTTCTTTGGAATGTGCTCTTCCCTAAATCAACAACATGCTGTTTTGTTACTTGGACTATTTCTCTCTTCCATGTGTTCCTCACAAAGTATCATCTTAACTACTTGCTTTGTTAACACTTTGACGGCAGGAATATACTACTATAGGAGTAGCTAAGTGATAAAACCCATGAATTTTTCTAGACAAGCAAAGGTAAGAAAGATGTGAGTTGCTGGGATTGATTTCCCTCTTCAAGACAATTACTTGGCTAGGCATCAAAGGCCTAGTCCTTGTTGTCTGATAGAGACAATTGATCAAGAATGACTCTCATAGCTGTGTCACCCTTTATCATAGCCCATGTTACCCTCTAGTGATAAGAGAGGCAACCTGAAAAATGTGACCCGTGTTTGCAATTGCTGTTAGGCAGGACAAAGATCTGTGTTGAATTACTTTGAGAAACATCTGACTTTCACCATTCCCATGATTCTTAGACAAGGATCCCCCCAGAAATTGCCCAGAATTATATGTAAATACCAATTCACGAGGAACAGATGGTTTAATGAGCCTTTAGGTTGCAAAATTTTGCCTCCATTCATTTCATTTCTGACTATAATTAGAACCACATTAATGATCACTAGTACCACATCATTAGTACCTCTCTTCCAACAGCTCAGCTACAGACAGTTGCTCTACCCACATAGTTCTCTGGCTGAGGGTTTCTCCCTGCTGAGTGGAATCAGTACTGACTGGGTCACACGACCATGTGAAAGCAGCTACTATGAGGGCTTTCACTTGGAAGCCTGGTCATCCTAATGGGAAACAAAACATTTCTGTGCAGCACACACGACACATAAATGCTGCATATGTGATGTTGAATCCTTTTGTGGATCAAGGACAAAATCCAGTTAAGTTCTGAGGTAGGTTCATGAGCTTGAAATTAATCTTACCTCTGTAATGGCTTTCTGTATTCAGGATATCAAGTAGCATGGTGACTTGGTATCTGCAAGACCATCAGGCGCAGGAATTTCAAGGGCGAATACAGTAAGATTTCGAGCAAATTATCTCACAATCAGTTTGCTAGATTATTTGAATGAATACAATACTATTATCTCACACAGAAGACAAATACTCTCTAAGATTTCTGTATTATTGATTTAAAGTGATACAGAACTATTGACCTTTAAATGATTTATTCTTACATTTTATGACACTGATTTATCTGCTATGGTGCCAAGATCCAGGTGGTGATTTTGTTTTTCTTGCGCTTTCAGGTTTCCTGTGCCATGACTGTATTGAATTCTGTGGTATGAAGAGATGCTCATTCCACCTGTAAGGTCAGCATATGGATCCTGCTGTAGTTTATGGCTTCAGAAAATATGTTTGTACACTGTAAATATATTGTATGAACAAATTAGGATCTCAGACAATTTAAGAACAATTGTTTCTCTTTATCCTGCATATTGTATTTATTAATTGAAAAGGGTTTTTTTTAATTTATTTTGATATGCAATTTATTAATTGGAAAATTAAGGTTAGAAAGTAAGCAGTGTTTTTAAAAACCCATAGCTTCCCAATGGAAATTAATCTGCACTATTTAGTAGTGCTTATTAGATCGTCATATTATTATTTAATACAAGTAACCACACTGCTTTCTAAGTTATCAAAAAGGTTGGACAGTACACTTAAGAAAGACGATTAGTCTGAAGATGTAGGTTATTTTAAACATGCATGAATGACGAGTTGGCAATTTTGTATAACATTCTGTGTGAAGTTGTTAGTTTCATTTTTGTGAATGATCTGTAAACTTACCTTGATTTTTTATTTTCTTACTCTTCTTTATCAAATTTGATGTTTCAATGAATGCATTCCATACTATGGTATTGGTCTATTTTCATCAGGATTTGTGTTGTACAACATGGCACTTAAGACTCACTTTATCCTTCCAATCTGTTTTTATTAGCCCAAAACTCAGACAACCAAGTTCAGTGCTTTGACTAACAGACACAATTATCTACTGGACTTGACTGTGAACAGCACTTTCCGGGCACCCAGCAAACCTCTATGAATAACTGGAAATCCTGGCAGGATCTAATTAAATGAACTAGGACATAAAGCCAAGCAAGATGTTACTTGTAATTTCTTGGTAATCTCATAATAATCAAGTTCTGTCCATTGTAAAAATGTCATAGCTACTCTTTAAGGTCACTGAAGGCGAAACACATTGGAACCCTAACTTAATATGTCAGAGAGACCTTCCAGTTTTATCTTGTCTGTAATTGCTTGCTGCATCTTAAAAGAGAAATGTCTACATTATTCAGAGAGCTCCCTCAAGTACATGGAATGTCAAGAGCCTGGAGTGAAAGTGAGTAGAGCCTGCATTGTCACATCAGGGTTTACAACACACAGAAGTGTTCAGAAATAGTAAGAGCAGCTTTCTGCTTCCCAGCTGAACACACAGTTCAGTTCTCAGGAGCCCAAGGAAGCTTTAAATTCTTGCTGTTAAAGAGGAATGAAATCTACCCTTCCTGCCAATGTTATAGTGCTTTACATAGAGATAAGTTACACAGTCTCTTCTATGAGCAGTTTACCACCCAACTGGGAAATTTACTACTCAGTCTATGCATAAATGCCAGCTACTGCCATGAACTTCAAAAAATTTCCAGGATCCACACAGTGAGAGGCAATTTGAAAGAACAGTGAAAAAATTCTTACAAACACCGTAAGTTCTTTTTACTTACAACCTTCCCTGACAAATCCCAGCTTCTGTTCAGAAATCACAGTTGCTCCAGAACCACAATAAATAATGCAAATAGAAAAAAAGAACAAAAAACAGAAGAAAAAAAAGGAAAACAGGAAATGGATATTAAGGAAAAAGCTCTTCTGGAAACATCAATAAACAGTCTTAAGTATTTCATCCATTTTAGGAAAAATGTTTTGTCTTCTCAAGTAGAAGTAGTTCAAATGCCAGGACGAACGGTGCCCCACATGCAGTTCAGATAAAAGAATGTATTATAGAGAATATTCTTATTCCCTTATTCTTGTTTTCATGCATTATAAAACACATGATATGTTTTGGGTTAGAGCTTCCTTTTTTTTAATCTTCTTTTTTATCTTCCTACACCCGAAGAAACTTCTTTCATCCATAAATTCTGCTGCTGCTCTTTCTCCCTTACATTTAGAACTATTTTCTTGTGACCTTCTCCATCATATATTAAAAAAAAAATGCAAATCTACATCAAAACTTTTGACATAAAGGTCTGCTTTTGGAGGAGAAAGTTTTTTACAGTTAATTCAGTATTCCCCTGAATCTTTGTAAGAATCATGGAAAGGAGATAGAGATGGCATTATCTACACTCTGACCATCACTGAGGTTTTGGTTTATCAAACTTAGATTTTTTATCAGAATATATAAACAGCTGCAGTGGATCAGTCCAAATTTTACTGACCCAAAATCCCATCTCTGACACTGGCTAAAAGCAGAGGGAAAGATAAAAGCTTGATAATGGGGGAAGCACATGTGATCCAGTTACTACACAGGGCTTACAGACAGATGGTCTCTATGCATTTAGTCTGTGCTTTTGAGAGCATAATTCAATATAAGAAAAATCCTATGAGCAAGGGGAAAGAAATGTGAGAAATGTCTAAGAGATCAGGCAATCAAAGCAGCCCGTGAAAATCTTATCTTAAACAGTGCAGAAAAATAGAAATTAATAGTACTACTATTAATAGTAGCACTATTACTATTAATAGTACTACTAGTCTCACCTCTGTGCCTGGCAAAATCTTGGAGCAGATTCTCCTGGAAGGCATGTTAAGGAAAAAACAATAGGGTGCCTGGTGACAGCCAGCATGGCTTCACTAAGGGGAAATCTTGCCTGACTAATCTGGTGGCCTTCTGTGATGGGGCTATGGAACTGATGGATAGGGTTAGAGCAGTTGATGTCATCTACCTGGACTTGTGCAAAGCGTTCAACACTGTCCCACAAGGCATCCTTGTCTCTAAGTTGGAGAGACATCAATTTGATGGATGGACCACTCGGTGGATAAAGAACTGGCTGGATGGCCACACGCAAAGAGTTGCGGTCAATGGCTCAATGTCCAGCTGGAGACCAGTAATGAGTGGCATCCCTCAGGGGTCAGCGTTGGGACCGGTCTTGTTTAACATCTTTGCCAGTGACATGGAAGTGGGATTGAGTGCGCCCTCAGCACGTTTGCTGATAACACCAAGCTGTGTGGTTTGGTTGATACCCTGGAGGGAAGGAATGCCATCCAGAGGGACCTTGACACGTTTGTGAGGTGGGCTGATGCCAACCTTATGAAGTTTAACCATTACAAGTGCAAGGTCCTACACCTGGGACAGAGCAATCTCAGGCACAGCTACAGGTTGGGCAGAGAAGAGAACCAGAGCAGCCCTGTGGATAAGGACTTGGGGGTGTTGGTTGATTAGAAAATGAACATGAGCCGGCTTCAGTGTGCACTTGCAGCCCAGAAAGCCAACCGTATTCTGGGCTGCATCAAAAGGAGCGTGACCAGCAGGTCGAAGGAGGTGATCCTTCCCCTTTACTCCACTCTCATGAGACCTCACTTGGAGTGTTGTGTGCAGTTCTGGTGTGCTCAACATAAAAAGGACATGGAACTGCTGGAACAAGTCCAGAAAAGGGCCATGAGGAGGATGAGGGGACTGGAGCACCTCCCGCATGAAGATAGGCTGAGAAAGTTTGGGCTGTTCAGCCTGGAGAAGAGAAGGCTGCGTGGAGACCTCATAGCAGCCTTCCAGTATCTGAAGGGGGCCTATAAGGATGCTGGGGATGGACTCTTCATTAGGGACTGTAGTGATAGGACAAGGGGTAACAGGTTCAAACTTAAACAGGGGAAGTTTAGACTGGATATAAGGAAGAAGTTCTTTTAGATTGGAGATAAGGAAGAAGTTCTTTGCTGTAAGGGTGGTGAGGCACTGGAATGGGTTGCCCAAGGAAGTTGTGAATGCTTCATCCCTGGAGGTGCTCAAGCCAAGGCTGGACAGAGCCTTGGGTGAGATGGTTTAGTGTGAGGTGTCCCTTAGCATGATGGGGGGGTGAAACTGAAAGAGCTTAAGGTCCTTTCCAACACTAAGTATTCTATGATTCTATGATTCTACTTATCACTAGTTCATTCAGAACTCAGGAATCACCTGCTCTATTCTGCCACTCTAAACCCAGCTCTGCTGCTCTTCCTCCATGCACCTGCAGAACAATCTCAGTCATTCTTGAACTTTATCAAGTGAGCTCTTCTGAGCATCCCAGTTTGGCACAGAGACTCTGCCAAACTCTGGCATTGCCAAACTGCTCTTGCCGCCTGCCAGCTGCTGCCAGTGTGTCACTCTCAGGCCACCTCATGGTCCTGGTACCACAGTTTGGCTGCCTCTGCTGTGTGGCAGCTTATCCACCTGCTGACTTTGCATTACATGCTGCTACAAAGGTGCCTGCTGGCATCCACTTCAAAAAGTAAGATTTCCCTACGTTAATCATGTCACCGCCTTACTTAGGATTTCATTCTGGGCTAATCTAAACCCCAATGGACTCAAATAGATACTCTTCTAGAGATACCATTAGACTTTGCATGGGCCCCTTCAGCTGCGTAGTGCCTTACTGTTTGATTTCTTAACACTGAAACATTCGCTACCACTGAAAACTGGAATGACTGAAAGACTGAAATGCAACTTTGCTGCCAAAGATCTGTGTAACTGAGGAAAGTAACTCTTTAGGACTTTCTAGGAGACCTGGGCAGCTCAACCCAGGACCAAGCACAAAGTATGCCTGTAGCTCAGAAGGCTGTCTTTGCCATAGTACAGAACCTTGCAAACTTTATCACAAAGAATAAACATCTTTATCTAAAGTGTAAAAGTTGCAATAAACTTGAAAATCCATGTCAAAACTGATTTCAAAATACAAAGAGGTTTCTAAAAGAAACATACGAAGAATTAAATCTCTAATGCTTATAGTCAAAATCACTTTATTTTCT